TTAAAATAGGCATCTGTTTTAACAAGAGTAGATTTATAGTGATGAGATTCTGCCCCATGACTTCTATTTTCTCTGTGAAAATTGAAGCCAGAATTATCTGAATACATGGATATGCAGAGAGTGGTTTGACCTTAGTGAAGATGAAAGTAGATGCTACAGAAAATTACAAAGGTGGCAAGTAATTGACAATTTCATTGTCTCAAGGTTAGCTGAAATCATGGCATTATTGTAATACCAATTTTCTTCCATTTTGCATCCCTAGTACCTGATACAGAGCTCTGCCCATGGTAGGTACATTGTGCTTCTTATTGTGAATTAAATTTCATTGTCAAAAATGCAAATTTACTTAACTGAATTAATGAATATTACATCTGAAGGAATACTTTTGTGGGCAAGATTAGATTTGTATTGCTCTGCTATCATTTGTTCCCTAAGCCCTTGCAAAATGCTCAACATAACTACGATAGGACCCTCCCTGGAGCCCAGCAAGTTAAAGCACAGCATTATGAAGCTCTCTCCTCAGCCACTGCAAACAAGAATTCGATCTTCAGCCAGGGAGGTGATCCACATGGTGTAGCAGACTCTCCTGTCTCGCCCACTTCTCCACTCAGCAGTGTATTCCAGTAGATCTGTTCCACTCCCCACTCTGTCTCTGCTGAAATCTCTTATCCCTCGCACCTTTAGCCTATACCCCAGTTCTTGTATCGTAGATAAATAAATCTTTAAAAAAAAAACATAACTACAGTAAAGTAAGGCATCAGTTTGATGAACTGAGAAGTGATAGTTCCAAATAAGTTTAGCAGTGCCACTGAAAAAGGAGGTGTGTACCTATTTAATATTAATGATAGGTCAGTGTGAATGAGAATGGTGTAACCAGCTGTCTTCATTTTGCTAGGATTGTCTGTTTTAACACTGCAAGTTCCATGCACTAGAAAACCCCTCAATCCTTGGCATACCCAGGTATTTGGTCACCCTATCTTAGGATTCTTTATATTTTGTTAGGTTATAAAGATAGTACATGTTCACTGTAGAAAATTTGGGGACGTATAAAGCAAAAAGTTTGAGATTATCTTGTAACCAAGAGGTTACACCACTGTTCATCTACTTTACAGTCATTATTTTAGACATGGTTGCTTGCAGTTTACTTAATAGAATTGAGATTATTTGATAAGTATAATTTTATATGCTACTTTCTTATACTTCCTAGCATGGGCATTTTCCTGTGTACTTAATTTTTTTTTAAAATTCCAAGTATATATCAAGTACTCAGTGATATTGTTACTTTTGATTAAAAATCTCATTGCCTTGTGAATTTTAATTTCTTTGACTATCAGGGGAATTGGAGCAGTTCATCTCTCAATCATTTTTGGTCCATTTTCATTTAGGATCTTTAGTTTTTTCCTCATATTTTGAATTGTCTCGAAGTATATTTGTTAATCCTTCAATGTAGTGTACTTAAACATCTGTTCAATGTGTCATGTCCTTGCTCAAATCTTGTTATGTAAATTAGTCAAATAAGCATCAAGCAACTTTGAATTAAATACTGTTTTATAGTCTCCATTAACAAAAAAGCTTCTTGTTAATAAAAACTGCATTTTAAAATGTTTTGATGTAGTTCATCAGGATTTAGATTTAAAAGTGTTTATTCAGTTTAATCAGGAAATGTTTGTGTGTCTTACTGCTGATAATCCATGATTTGTGCTCAACTGAGTAGTCCTTTAAGGTTGTAGGACAGATAGATTTATATATAAGTAGTTGAAAATCTGAGTACTAAGTGTTACTATAAAAACTCATAAAAAGGATTATGCAAACACAAGAAAAGGAATAGCTGATTTTAGTAGGAAAAGATTCATATTTTAAAACAATAAGATAAAGTAATTTGAATGATATAAGATTTTGTCAACAGCAATAATAATATTACAGCCAATAAAGTGAGCTTACCAAGTACCATACTGCTATAATCATTTACAACTTTAGGGGATAGTTATGGATATTTTAACTGGAAAGGTAAGGAATTGAAGAATATAAATAGTTTCTAGCAAAGTTAACAGTGAAAATAAAGGATGCCAGCTTTGAGAACACTGAATTTTCTGGAATGTGGCGAAAGTTTATAAAACAAGGGCCAAATAAGAACATCAGTAATAATTCTCAAGAACTATATAAAGTGCTTCACAAGCTTCAGTTAAAAAAGAAAAAATCTCATGCCAATTTTTTGAGATAAGTATTTTTATTCCAGTTTTAGATAGTATAATGTTAAAGAATCAGTTTGATGTGGACATAACATGAAGTTGCCAAGGCTTGTCTGACTCATAATCTTAACAGTTAAAGGAATAGGTCAGATACACATAAAATAATATAAAGCACTTGAGTATTGAACATTTTTATTTAGTAATTCTTGATAGTTTGCTAAGGTTTATATTTTATTTTCTAAAATGTTACAGAAACGGTTAATGTTTCACTTTCCCTTATTTGCCATCCTGTTCCTCCTCCCTCTTTTGCCAGGGTCAGCCACAATGCTGTTAACCATTCTTATACTTGTCTTTCATTTTGCTCTATGTGTATGTAGTCACCTATCAATTATGTGTGATTTTGTGCATTTTATAACTTTACTACAAATTTGATCACATTGTACCTCTCTTTGGCAGCTTGCTTTTTTTTTTTTGTTTGTCATTCTGTTTTGAAATTTACTTCTAGTGAGTCATGTAAATTTATTTCATTTGATTTGCTTTGGGGTGCTTATTCATCCCCCTATTTGAGGGATATTTAGGTTATTCTAATGGTTCGCTTTTACAACAAACCTAAAATAAATATTCATGTACTTTTTTTTTTTGCATAGTTATTTGGAAGTGTATTTTCTACAAGTAGAATTATTGAATCTTAAAACCTTAGAGAAGATACTTTCAAATTGCTCTTTAGTGTGTTCATGGTAATTTATACTCTTAACATAGATGTATAGATTAGGTCTGAAACCACTATGCTATTTTTAAGTTTCTCAAATATTGTCTTAGGAAGATTATGAAGAAAGTAAGCCTTATCAGAGATTAGTTATTCCCTTTACCATCCTACAGATGACAAGCCTAGAATAAGTAGGCAGATAAATTTTGGTGAGTATGGGAAAGGAGACATAATTGGGAAGCAAGAGGAGAAGAAAATATATCAGGCAGTATTACATGCTTGGTAAGCAGCTTTTTCTTTTTTTCTTTCTTTCTTTCTTTCTTGTAATAAAGCCAAGAAAAATGTCTTCCAGGTCTGGTTTAGCAGCTCCATGGAGCCATCAAGTTACCTTTCCTATCTGCCATTCCTAGAATGATTAATTAATCTCCAGTTATTACCTGAAGATCCTAGACAGAGAGTAGGGGAAAGGGCAAAAGGCATAGTCAGCTGACTATCTGGTAAATCTCAGCCAGCAGACTTCCTCATGCATGTCAGTGGGCAGAACTGGGTCCCATGACTTCTGGCTATAAGGTCTGTTGGGGGCAAGTGCTTTCCTAAACAAAATCAGAGTTTTGTTGGTAAGAAAGAATAGGAAACATAGACCATGGATAGGTAGCTAGCAATTGTTACCTTATATAAAAATTCAGTATTTTATTGCATAGTTACCCTGGCTTGGAATGGTTGGGAAAATACATAATAGGTGATAAATGTTTGTTGGACAAGTGAATCAGCCTTAAAAATCTATAGTAGATAAATCTCTTGAATCACTTCAGATGTGTCAAGAAACTTGCTACATTTTGATTTTTTGAAGTAGATTTTTTAATTGAGCTTCACCACTTCAAATTTCATGTGTCAGAGTTGTTTTGCTATTTACATTCAACAAATCACAGGGAATTCCTTATATAACCAAATTACCTTTTACTAATTATGATTGTGCGTGAAGGTCTATTTTCTCTTGTAGTGCTGCTATCCTCTATACAGATGTAGGAATACATACGTATAATCTCAGGAAACTCAAGTAATAATGTGGTCATGTTTTTCTTTAAAAAAAAAAAAACAAAACAAAACAAAAAAAACAGCTAAACACAAAATTGTCATGAAGTTAGCATTTTTAGATAAACATAAAAGCTAGCAATGAGTAATAGTTGAGATCTCTTAGTCTGCCATCTCACAGATGAAGCAATAAGAACAGATTGTGACATATTCAGAGTCTCAATACTAGCTGAATTCATATTTGTGAACTAAGGGATCTTGAATCTAATATTATTTCTGCTTTTACCTTGTTGATACTCATATCAAAATCAGTTCAAGGAATTGAAGAGAACTTTTACATTCACCACCCCCAATTTAAAACAATGCCATTTTACCTTGAATTAGCCAGAATGACATCTTTCGATGCTTTCTGAGCCAAAAGCTATAGGAGAGTTCAGTAATCCCTTAGTATTATGTTAAAATTATTTTGAAGGATGGCAATCTATATTTTGTTTGTCTAGATGTTATTGTAACTAGATTTTCTGATATAATAAACAATCAAGTGAATGGGGATTTTTCTAAGCCTACTTTCTCGGAGAATGAGGAAAGACATACAGATTAGAAAATTACTGTCATCTCATTAATTTTCTTAGCTGCATACATGCGCTAAATGTAAATCAAATGTTTTGCACTGTCATGCTTATGTTACCACAGTAAAGTGTTCAATGGCTTGCAAATAACGGTTGTCCGTTTATAAAACAAATATGGTCTTTTAGGAATGTTTCATGTAGTAATTTTAATTTCATATTTTGAGCCATCACTTGAGCTTGAATAAATTATTTGAGCTATATAAATGTTTGCATCCTATTGAGAATACTGAAGCTGAAAGTAAAAAGCATAAACCTAACTCAGAAAATCTTTGAATATCTAGAAGTTATACTTCAGAGATTTTTAATTTTCTTCACTTCAAATTCTACTTTTTGTCAAGTGACAAAAGTCACCTCTTTTAATAAACTTCAAATGGAAATATGTATGCCTTTTATATTTTGTGATCTTGAATGCTTTAATTCATGTAAACCTTTTCCAATTTTTAGAGGGACAGAAGGAAAATGAAAAGATGAAAAATGAAGAACAGCCCATAAATTCAGGAAATCATTTTATGCCCAATGCACCGGAAGAAGCTTCTGTGAAGATAGAAAAAGATGATGAAAAGGAACTTGTGAAACTTCCAGTCATAGTGAAGCTAGAAAAACCTTTGGCAGAAAATGAGGAAAGAAAGATTATCAAAGAAGAAAGTGATTCTTTCAAGGAAAATGTCAAACCTACTAGAGTTGAAGTGAAGGAACATAGAGCCGAACCTAGAGATATGAAAAGTAGCTTAGAGAAACTGGAGCCAGAGAGACTAGAGTTCGGTGGCAATGTTAAATCTCAAGAAATTACTGAAAAGTCTACTGAAGAAACCGAGAAACTTAAAAATGACCAACAGGCCAAGATACCACTAAAAAAACGAGAAATTAAACTGAGTGACGATTTTGACAGTCCAGTCAAAGGACCCTTATGTAAATCAGTTACTCCAACAAAAGAGTTTTTGAAAGATGACATAAAGCAAGAGGAAGAGACTTGTAAAAGGATTTGTACAATCACTTCTTTGGGTCATGAAGGGAAACAACTAGTAAATGGAGAAGTTAGTGATGAAAAAATACTGCCAACTTTTAAGACAGAACAAATAGAGACAAAGTTTTATGATACAAAGGAAGATAGTGATAGCCCCTGTAAGGACAAAAATGTCATTGTGGAGGGAAATGGAACAGAATCCTTAAATTCTGTTATAACGAGTATAAAAATGGGTGATCTGGAGAAACAAGTGATCCCTAGAGGGAAAACTACAGATAACTCAATATCAGTATTAGAGCCCCACTGTCTAAAAGGGCAAGTAGAGGAACCTGGTCATCCAGAAATGGATACTTCTCATGAGATCTCTGAGATTGCGGAGGATCTCTCTTTAAAAGCTGCTTTATCTACCACTGAATCCTGTACTTTGAACATTGAAGAGAAGTCTCCCAAAAGTAAAAAAGATAAACGTCCACCAGTCATAGAATGTCTTGAAAAATTGGAGAAGTCCAAAAAGACATTTCTTGATCAAGACACACAACGATTGAGTCCAATACCAGAGGAGGTTCCAAAAAGTACTCAAGAATCAGAAAAGCCAGGCTCTCCTGCAGCAGTTGAAACTTCTTCACCATCTAATGTGACTGGCTTTTGCAAGAAACTAGCCTCTGAAAAAGAAATGGTAGAGTGTCAGAGTACAAGTCCCATTGATGGTCTGGAAAAAGGAGACCCAGAAATGTTAAAAGAAGATTCTGAGCCTACAAAAGTAGAAATGGATAATCTGGACAATGTCCAGACCTCTGGCACCGAAGATCCTTCTGAGACAAAGAGTCCTATGCAAAAAAGCAAACTTAAATACAAGTTGGTTCCTGAGGAAGAAACCAGTGCCTCAGAAAACACAGAGATAACTTCTGAAAGGCAGAAAGAAGGCATCAAACTGACAATTAGGATATCCAGTCGGAAGAAGAAGCCAGATTCTCCTCCAAAAATTCCAGAAACAGAAACTAAGCAAGAGAAAACAGAAAAGGAAGAAGAGAAAGTAAATGTAGGCCGTACTTTAAGGAGGTCTCCGAGAATTTCTAGACCCACAGCAAAAGTGGCTGAGACTAGAGATCAGAAAGCTGATAAAAAGAAAGGAGAAGAAGAGGAAGTGGATGAAGAGTCAGCAGCTTTGCAAAAAACAGATAAAAAGGAAAATTTGAAAAAGTCAGAGAAGGATACAAACTCTAAAGTAAGCAAGGTAAAATTTCTCCTGCTCTGCGTTTCAATTTTTATCAGAAATACTGTTGGTTATAGCTTTTTGCTTTTGTCTAAAATAATCATTCAGAGGTACTTAAAAGAAGAAAAAAGATTATCTTCCTATATCTGAGATAACCTGTGTCCAGTAGGTCTACTTAGGTATGAAATTTCAGGCTATATAATCTCATCATCTGTTTGACTTTATCACAAGGAAGTATAGGAATATGTTCTTTATGTAAGCTATTAAATTAATCAGACCTGTGAGATTAAAAATGAGAATTCCTATAAACTTGTAACACTTTGGGACACGGTCTTTCAAATTCTTTTTCTGTAAATGTACATGTATTTTCATAAATATATACCCATTCATTTAAAAAAATGGAATCAAATGTGTTAATTTTTTCATGAGTTTTTCATTTAAAAATGTATCTCTAAAGTCTTTCCATGGCAATAAATTCCATCTTTTCTGGTTATCAGTAGTCACATAGTATTCCATAGTGTGGATGTGCCTCAATTTATTTAATTACTCCCTTATTGATTGACATTTAGGTTGTTTCCAATTTTTCACTATTACAGGCAGTGCTGCATTGAAGATCCTTTTGGACATGAGTGAGTATTTCCTTAGAATAGACTCCTAGAATTGGAATTGTTGGGTCAAAGGGCATGTGTATTTTAAGTTTTGGTAGCTATTTCCACAATGCCCTCCAAATGAAAGTCCCACGAATGTGCACTCACATACCAGTGTATGAGAGTACCTGTTTTCCTCCAATTTAATCATTAGTCTTAAAAAGTCAGAATTCCTTTTTCTGTGATTTTCTAGGCAAAGATTAAGTCTGACAAGTCTGACTAGTCTATGGGAGTTTCTTAATAATGACAAGTACTATTTTTGTTTTTTATTTAAGTGATCAGATTATTCTTAATTGTACGTGAGCCTTATTCCCGATAGTATTGAATTTTCAATTCTTTTAAGAAAATTTTCTTTTCTGTTGTTATTTTATCTTTGGGAACTTACACTATAGTGATTAAAACATGAATTAAAAGATTGTGAAACAAGGCAATGAAAAGTAGTTTACAACATTGTAGACGTATTCTCTGAAGAATATAGTTTTTACATTTATTGAGATTTTAATCTGCAATCTGACCCATTAAAATATTTTAAATTTGGAGCCTCCCTGGTGGCCTAGGTATAAAGTCTTAGCACTATCACTGGGACAGCCTGAGTTCGATCCCTGGCCAGGGAGCTGACCCACATGGTCCAGCATGTACTCACCACAGCAGTACATTTTAGTAGATCTGCCTGTTTTGCTCCTCATTCTGTGTCTGGTAAATCCCCTCACACCACCTCCCAGCTCTGGCCTTCTGTGTAAAAACAATAAATAAAATATTTAAAAATAAATTAATTAAATTTTAAAATTTATCTTTGATATAAGAATTTGAAATTTTGTATGACCCTATGTGAGAATATAGTCAATGCTCTGTTACAGAGCCTTTAAGATGTGCATGGCCTTTGACCCAGAATCCTCTTCAAGGAATTTATCCTAACTATAAAGGTGTGTATAAAAATGTATATCTAATTGCATATATTGTTTACAAAAGTGAAAAAATGGGAAACAACTGCCTAAATGTCTTAGTACAGGAAATTAAATACAGCTGTGTAATAACATATTTATCATTGTTTACAGTGAGGATGGTAATATTTTGTTAGTAAAGAAAATAAAACAATGTTTACAACAATCCCTAGCCTCTCATAAAAGTAAAAAAAAAAAATTGAAATATATTCCAAAATTTAATAGAAACTATGGTTTACCTGTTGATGAAGCAACTATAATTTTCTTTATCTTTTTTGTATAGTCACTAAATATTATACAGTGGACATACCAGAATTTAAAAAAACCTCATTATACCAATTTTTCATTTTACACAAGGTAAAACCCAAAGGCAAAGTTCGATGGACTGGTTCTCGAACACGGGGAAGGTGGAAATATTCCAGCAATGATGAAAGTGAAGGATCTGACAGTGAAAAATCATCTGCAGCTTCAGAAGAGGAGGAAGAAAAGGAAAGTGAAGAAGCCATTGCAGCAGATGATGATGAACCATGCAAAAAATGTGGCCTTCCAAACCACCCTGAACTAGTATGTAACTGGTCTCACAAATATCATTCATATAGCATAACACTATCGTTGCCAGGAACAGCCTAGATCTGGGGTTGATCATGATAACACATTTTCCCTTTTTTTATTGCTAAAGAGACCATCTGTAACTTTAATTTCTCTTTCTTAAATACCCAATTCTAGGGAGAATGAGGATCCTACATTCATTCTACCTAGTTTATATAGTGATATTTCCACTACAAATAAGAATATACTCCTAATCTTTTTCAAAAGTCAATGAGTTTATTCAAATAGTTGTATTCTTTTTGTTTAGGCTTTTCTTCATTTTGTTATTTAATTATAATGGTATTTCTGAAATGCTAGCTTTAAGTAAACACCTGAAGATCCTTTTGCCTTTTGTTAAAAACATACAAAGTAGTAATCTACTAGAGCTTTAAACTTTAAAATTAACAATTCTAAAAAAATTTTGAGAAGATACATTGTAGACCATATGGTCAGATGGAACGGTAATAGATTTATATAGAACTAACTTTCTTAGGAAGTAATTCTTCGAAAGTGACCTAAGTTGGAAAACCCAGTCACACGCACGCACGCACTGCAATTCCTAAGTACTTTCTAAAGGACTTTCTTTAGAATATGCTATTAAAAAACTTTTTTGCTTTTGTTTTTAATTTTACAGAGAACAGGGGTGTGAGGGCAGTAGGGCAGTAGGTGAGAAGATTCACCAGGACAAGAGTGGGAAGTCAAACAGGCAGATTTACTGAAATACATTGTTAGAGGGAGCAGTAGGCAAGGCAGGAGAGATCTGCTGTGCCATATGTGGGTTAGCTCCATGGTTAGGGATCAAATTCAGGTCTTAGTGGGATAATACTGAGACTTAAACCCTGAACCACTGGGGAGACCCTAAAGATATTCTTGTTATGCCCAATTCTATCAGTTACTATGTTCTGATGAACAGGTTTGACTTTAATGGCAGGCCTCAGCTATTAAGTAGAAAGAAATACACTTCACGGTGGATAGAATTGTGTAGAAAACTTTCTGAGATCCCCTGAAGTTTGTAAAAGTCATATGAGATGGTTTTTCTTTTTTAAGATTTATTTATTTATGCATACAGAACTGGGGTACAGGCCAGAGATGCGGAGGGTGATAGTATTCACCAGAGATAGAACCCGGGGCAGAACAGGCAGATTGACAAAGCACACTGCTGAGGGGAGCAGCGGGCTGGTCAGGAGAGGTCTGCCGCACCATGTGGTCACCTCTGGGGCAGGCGGGGATGAACTCATGCGGAAGTGGCTTTAGCTTCTTAGTGCTGTGCTTTAACTCGCTGCGCCACCAGAGAGGGCCCTGAGATGGTTTTTCAAGACATTTTCCTTGAAAGTAATGTAGTTTGATGGGAAAGTCATGGGGGCCAGACAAACTTGAATGCAGATCCTGTTTCTACCACTTATGAGGTGCTTTCTTCTTTGTATCTTGTTAATCCTTTTTATAAATGAGAACAGTATCACATACTTATTGAGGGTTGTTTTTATTAAGTTATGTGAAGTTCTACTAGCATAGTTCGTGGCCTCTGTTATGTACTAGGTTAAACTTTTTTTAAAATTGGTGCATACAGCTTTATACAGCTCAGTATAGGCCAGAGCTGTGGGTAGGCCAGAGCTGTGGGGTGAGGGGCTGTGAGAGGTTTCATCAGAAGTGACAGTGGAGAGCAAAACAGGTAGATTGACTAAAATATACTCCCAAGGGGAGCAGTAGATAAGAACTGCGTGTCCTGCTGTGGGTTAGCTCCCTGGCCAGGGATCGAACTCACCGTGCAGTGGTTACCTGTAGCTTCACAAAGCTGAGACTTAAATCCCTACACCACGAGGGAGGCCTGGTTAAATTTATTTCTAGTTTACTTGTTCTTAATGTTAAAATTCTATCTGTAAACAAAATTTGTCAGTGCAGTTTATCATATCCCGGGCATTTCTAGGTACATAAAAACAGAAGATGACTTTAGCATGAAGGAAAAAAGATGTTAAAAATTTGGCTGAGGGCCCTCCCTGGTGGTTCAGCAGGTTAAAGCACAGCACTAAGAAGCTAAAGCCACTTCAGCATGAGTTTGATCCTGGCCCGGAAGGTGACCCACATGGCACGGCAGACCTCTCCTGACCCACTCCTTGCTCCCCTAAGCAGTAAACTTCATTGATCTGCCTGTTCTGCTCTCCACTGTCTCTGGTGAATCCTCTCACTGTCCCTGCACTTCTGGCTTGTACCCCAGTTCTGTATGCATAAATCAATAAAGCGTTAAAAAAAAAAAAATTGGCTGAGAAGACCAGTCTAAGCATTTTCAAGGTTATCAGACCATGAAAGTTAGATCAAAATTGTGTGGAGGCAGGCTAAGAGGAGATTTGAAGTAATATTTTCTGCCCTCTAAATCAAGGAAAAATGAATTTTTTGTCTTTTCCTGTTTCCTAATGTCTTTTCAAATTAAGAGTGTATTTTAAATGAGGCAGCAATATAGGTCAATGATAAAGTTATGTGAGAAATAAGAAATTTTAAAACGGTGGGCAGAAATGACAGAGGAGATGGGAAAATTGTATCCTTGGAACAGAGAGGGAATTAGTTTTTAGTTGGTTGTTAATAGCTGTTCTGAAATCCCATTGCTCGTTATTATGACAAAGAGAATGACACTGGAAACTGAAGATCCCAAATGTAGTGGATTTCTTATGTCACATGCTTAAGGATTTAGCAATATTATGTGTTGAATGGTAGGATAGGATGGTAATTTATAAAGACATGGTCCTTGTTGTCAATGATCTTATAGTAAAAATATAGTAATTTCATAAACAAATAGAGAATCCTGTGGGATTTCCCAGGTGTTTTAGTCAAAATAAATGGATTCATTACCCAAGACTTGGGACTCTTATGTGATACTGCTTAATTTCATGGGATTTTATTTCACCTTTATTGCAAAATAGAATATTTGTTTAAAAAGAACTGAATTCTAAAGGTTTGCTTGGATTTTGCTTTTTGAATTTTATATTTACCATAGAAACAGTGAAATAAATGGAATGAGGTTCCCATACTAGTCCACTTATGCCTTTATCAGTCAGCCAACCATATACCTGTAATACTAATACAGCTTAGTTCTGATTTTTGGATCTTGGTAGCAAGTGGTATAGAAAAAGAGGGGGATGTAGTTTTTTGCTTGTAAATGGCTGCACATATGTGCACATCCCACCCCAGTCCCCCACACCCCAATCTCTGTTGTTATGGGTCAGCAGTTTAAAAATCATTTTACATATTACATGAGGGTTTAATAAATAAACAACTGCTAATAATAGGAGCAGGGGAAATATAAGCTATTTTCTGTAGTGCCAGAAAATAAAGAGATGGTGTTTTTGGTTTTTGTTTTATAAGAAAGGATGTGGAGAAGTCCTAAGGACACAGGAACCAATATTTAAGAGCTTCCAGCATGCTTACTACAACTATGACAATTTGAACATCGAATTAAATAACGTAGTTTTAGGTTATAACCCAAATAATAAATATCAATTAGCTCATTTTGAAATTAATTAATTATCAAATAAATTTGGGGAGGAGGGATATTTTTCTTTACAGAAACATTTCAAATAACAGATACAAAGGAATGAGGGAAATAAAGAATCACCATTACAATGCAGTAGTAATTATTACGAGATAGATCCATGAGGACTGTTAACACTAATGGGTGAAACTTTAAAGAAAAAGAATATTTGCATAGTTCCAACTTATCTTTCCTCCATATATTTATTAATGTATAAGTTACTATGATGACTTTTAACATACATACAAATCCTTTGATACTCTCCTTTTCCCAGAGATTGGAGCTTAATAGGCAACCTCATTATTTATAATGAGAATAGAATATGAAAAGTGATATTTAATAATTTTACAGTAATAAAAACCAATACAAAACTATCATAGCCAAATAATGCAGTTTAATATCATTATTAGTCAGCCACATTGATATAACATACACCCACATATGAAGTAATGCATCTTTGGTACTCTTTAAAACCCGCAACTGTGGTCTTATCAAAAGAAGATATCAGACAAATTCATAATGTCTCCAAATTATCTGAACATTATTCTTCAAAACTGTCAAAAGCCCTGGAAAAAAAAAGACCAAGAAATTAGTATAAATAAGAAATTAAGAAGATATGAATAAATGCAATGGAATATACTAGATTGGATTCTGGAATCAGAGAAAGGAACTTGAGGGAAACTGATAAAATCTGAATAAAATTTGTAATTGTACTGATGTTAATTTCTTAGTTTTGGTCAATGTACCATGGTTATGTAAGATGTTAACATTAGTAAATGGTTTTAGAAACTCCTTACTATGTAATTCTTCTGTAAATCTAAAATTATTTTAAAATTAAATATTTTAGGCCCTTCCTGGTATTACAACTGTGAAGCTGTCATAGCCACTACAAATGAGTTTCTTGTAATAGGGAATTAAGATGTTATTTCAAGTGGATATAATTTTTAAAATCCTGTATGGTAGTTTACGATATGTGAGTATGAAGCTCTATTACAGGGGCCTCCCTGGTGGTACAAAGGTTTGAGTCTCAGCATTATGAAGCTACCAGCAGCCACTGCAGCATGGTTTCGGTCCCTGGCTAAGGAGCTGACCCACATGGCATAGCAGACCCCTCCTGACCCTTCCTGCCGCTCCCCTCAGCAGTGTATTTCAATCCATCTGCCTATTCTGCTTCGGTCTAGTGAATTCTCTCACCCCCAGCACTTCTGGTCTGTACCCCAGTTCTTGTATGCATAAATAAATCTTTAGGGGGGAAAAAAAGAGAAACACTACTACAAAGAATGAGTTGTTATGGCATACTATAAAAGGATTGTAACTAGAAAGAACTTGTTATTTTTTATTAAATCATGTAGCTTAACATTTTCTTAGGTTAGTGTGTGTGTGTGTTTTTAATTTGTTACATGACATTTCAAGCTTCTAATTATCAGCTCTTTTTTATTATTTTTGTTTAGATAAAGATTATTTTTTAGCATAGTTCCAAGAAATGTTGAAGTATCTTTATTTTGGCCTGAAAGTCATTGAGTTTTAGCTATAGTTAGGTTGATACTAATGTGTGGTTTATTTCAGATTCTTCTGTGTGACTCTTGTGACAGCGGATACCACACTGCCTGTCTTCGCCCTCCTCTGATGATCATCCCTGACGGAGAATGGTTCTGCCCCCCTTGCCAACATGTATGAGCCAGCAACACATCTCTGTTTTTCCATTCTTTGATATTACACTCAAACTAATAACACTTCTTGACAGCTGTTAAAAATTTTTAATTTTCAAAGTAATGTGTAATATTACTTACCTTTTATTTAAGATTCTGTGAAAGCAGGACTATAGAAAAAGCTGCCTTTCATTAATATGTTGTGGGTCTTCTCTTTTTTTTCCAAAGGGATTCTCAGAAGCTCTTTTTGTTTTCAAATTTAGATGTTTCAGATTTACAACAAAGACCTAATTTTTACAAAAGCTATAGTCTTCATTTTATTTTTTCCTCAAATTTGCTAAAGATAAGTGTCCCCAAATTAAGGTAATATGCAAGGGAAGAAAAAGTTTCTCCCTATTTGTTTAGCCCTTTCTTTCAGCCTCTTTTTCATTTCTGCCTGTCTGCCTTTTGTCAGGAGCTTAATAATATACACAGGATTAGACATATGAATTGTTTTTCTCGTAGCTCAATTCAGGTGAATTGTTTTTGAAAACTGAAAAAAACAAGAAATTTTTGTACCACTATCTCTAAGGATACTTTCCAAGTTCAGTCTCATTTTGCTTTAAAGATTATGTACTTTATGTATTTCTCAATTATGTGGACTTTTGTGAGTTAGCATATGTTTATCAGTTACATTCTTCAGGTTTCAACCCATTATCTGTGCAGCATAGATCTTTTTCAAAAATAGTGATTGACACCATTTTATTTTGTACCTCTAATCTTCTCTCTTAAAAATGTTGTGGGATTTAAAAATACATTTTAATCACTGCCATATATTTAGTAATTCTCATGTATATACTTTGAGCCGAATGCTGTTTTAAAACAGATTAATGTCAATAAGGTAGGCACATACGTGTTTTGTTTTGTGTTGTTTGTTTGTTTGTTTGTTTTTAGCAAGGCTTAGCTTTTCTAAGGTGCTTTATTTCAAAGATACTAAGTTCATCCTCAGTTCAGTGGATGCTGAGGCACCTCATTAAACACAAGAGGTGTTCTTCACTGTTCACTCACTGTGTGGGCACTTACCAGCTCTCATGGCAAAGAATCCATAAGCTAATACTATGCAGGTGATAAAAGATTGTGAAAATGTTATTTAAAATGACCCTGATGTACTTTGCTCTTTTAGAAACTGCTGTGTGAAAAGTTAGAGGAACAATTGCAGGATTTGGATGTTGCCTTAAAGAAGAAGGAGCGTGCTGAACGCAGGTATTGTGATGAGTATATTAATGTTTTACTCTAGGGCACTTGACAACAAAGTTGTCTTGCAATGTAGATTAGTGTGTCCATCTAAATTGGAGTTTGGCAGGCTGTGAACTGTGGGCTGAATCTGAATTTTTTTTTTTTTTTTTTGTATTACCACTAACAGTGAAAGCTTTTTAAATGGTTGAGGAAAAATCAAAACAAGGATCACATTTGATAACACATGAAAATTAAATATTCAGATCTCCTTGCTCATTGTCCATAAAGAAAGTTAAGTTGGAACATAGTCATGCTCATTTGTTTATACACTTACCCGTGGCTACTTTGCATTACAATGATCGACTTGAGCAGTTGCAGCAGAGACTTCTGTTCCTCACGAAACCTAATTCATTATTTGTCCTGTTACAGAAAAAGTTTGCCAATCCCCGACCTAAAATATTTATTAAAACTACTCGCAATAAATATTGGTTCAAGTATTGTGGAGTATTGTGGAGGATATGTGTCTAAAAACTGGTCTACAATTTAGTTACCCATGTCATCTCTTTGGGTGGGTAGAATTTAACAGTGATGAAATAAAGAGCATTTAAGTGCTGAACTGTGTCCTACTGACTGTAAGATGTACCTCCCTTTTCAATATGCCACTGCAGTGATCTAAAGCAGTTGGACAAGGCTTCTTGAAGAGGGTAAGACTGGAGTTGAGCATAACCTTTAAAAGGGAACTTAGAATCATTACAATAAATTTATATTTATTTATATTTATTTGTGCTTTCTTTGATTAAACTTTGTTAACCATTCAGATCTACCATTTACCAAACTGAAAAGATGAATTAAGAAAAAGCTCTCATAGAGCTCACCTTTTATCAGATATATAAATCAGTAATAAAATAGAAAAGATCTATTCAGAGCAATGCAAAAACATTGTGGAGGGCCATTTTAGTTCTTCTAAGGGTTGGGAGGTTCCTGGTAGATAATTTGGGAGATGTGCATAAAAATGTTTCAGGCAAAGTCACAAAGAATAGGAGACTGGCAGGGGATAAAGTTATAAAAGTAGATTGCAGTTAAATTGTATACAGCTTTGCATACCTGGCTAGGGAATTTTAATTATTCTCTGTAGGCAGTGGGGGAGCTATCAAAAGAAGGATTTGCATAATTAGATTTTTATTTCAGAAAAAATGATCTGGTAACAGTAAGAATAACGGCTTATAGGTAAGCCTTTTGCAGTAAAGTCGATGAGAGCCAGTAAGCCCTGAACTAAGACAATCATTTTGATAATAAAGTGGAGATATTGATGAGAATTTTCATAGTGTTATAGGACTTTCTTTTTTAAGATTTATTTTTATATATTTATGCATACAAGAACAATAGTACAGGCCAGAGGTGCTGGGAACTAGAGGGGTCATCAGAGACAGAGTGGGGAACAGAACAGGCAGATTGACTGAAATATACTCTTGAGGGAAGCAGCAGGTAAGTAAGACAGGAGATGTCTGCCACACCACATGCGTTGGCTTCATGGGTAGCAGATCTCTGCTGCAGTGGCTGGTGACAGCTTAATAGCACTGTATCTTTAACCTCTAAACCACCAGGGAGGCCCCTGATCAGCAGGACTTTCACTACTCATCAATACAATAGCATACTGTGAGCAAATCTAAGCAGTAAATGTTGCCTGATCAATTTATTGCCCTTTTTTTTTGGCTGCTATTCTAACCTGCTGTTACGTAGTTTCACCAAAAATTTTAGCTTGCCTTAAGGTAGTCAGTTCATTCCATAATCTACTTGGTGCAAAGGTGAAACTTAAAAATGGGTTTTGCCTGGAGAACCTGGTTTTTTTCTTTGAGTGCTCTGGCTCATAATAAATGCTAGCTACTTAGTTTAAAGACAAAATTAATCTTTAAAATTTAACTTAAAAAATAGCTGTTTAAATACCTTTGTGCTTAGGAGCTCTGGATAGTAGTTATATAAAATTAGGACTATGTTGATGTGTAGCGGTGCTTCTGTTTTTAATCTCTGTACTGGTAAAGATGTAACTAAAGATGTTTCAGATTAAATTTTAAATCATAATTTAAAATTAGATTTTCTTTTGCTTTGGCCTTTCTGAAATCTTCATTCCCTTTGGAGAAAAGAGCAGTTTTCTAGTGCTCTAGAACTGATTTGATTCAGCAGTAGATGTCTAATAGGCTCACTCGTTAAGGCCTCGAGAGAAAATGTTTTCTCTAGAAAAGCCAAGAATATAAGCCACTAAGAATTTGATGCTCAAACTTCATCAACTTGTTCTTTGAAGACTTGTGACACTTAACACCTTTCATGCTTGGAAAGTTTGGTGACATACTATAGAGTATGCCTCATACTCTAGGATATGCTGCTACAGTTAAGAAAAACTTTGCATTTTAGAAATTTATGTTAAAATGTACCACAGTATTTGTTGCATTAGTTGATCTCCCATTTACTAGTTACTTGCTTTCTCTTTTTCACTTGGTAATCCTCTTTATTTAAATGTTATTCTTAATGAGGACATCTGCAGTTGTGGCTTAAATCATGTACAAGGTCCTATATGAGATTGGATCATTGCAAGGAGAACGAAGTTAGTGCTGTATGGAGACCAGTCTAGCACAGGGCCAGTCAACAAAATTATTGCTTTTGTTTAATTCCCTCCAATAATCTGGCTAACAAAGTCTCACTTATAGCTCCTGTGCAGAGTTCTCACCTATAACTCCTACATGTGCGCGCGCACACACACACACACACACACACACAAATTTTGGTAACTTTAAACAGCAAAATATGTATCCAAAATAAACAGTATTTACTATAAATTCCAGGTGGCTTCATCTATTTTTAAAAATAGGCGATTTTATTCATCCTTCGTAAAGTTTGTAAACTATCTCAAACAACTTAGAACCTGCATCATTACTCTTTGTGTCACAGTACAAGATCATCTTTGCATTTGACATTCAGTCAGCTTTTATTAAGCAATTACTTCATGTTATACAAATTAATCAATTATAAAGAAGTTTATTATGTGGTCCCTACCTTTGTTTGTTTGTTTGTTTGTTTTTAGATATTTATTTGTGCACACAGAACTGGGGTACCGTCCAGAGGTGCAGGGGTGGTAAGAGAATGCACTGGGGACAGAATGGCGAGCAGAATAGGCAGATTGACAAAGTACACTGTGGAGGGGAGCAGTGGGCAGGTCAGGAGAGGTCTGCCACGCCATGTGGGTAACCTCCCTGGCCAGCGATCAAACTCATGTTGCAGTGGCTGAGGCTAACTTCACAGTGCTGCTCTTTAACCTAATACACCATCAGGGAAAGTCACAGTCCCTACTAAGGGGGTGGATAGTGTGGACAGGAAGGATGTGTCCATGAGTAATTAGTGACTAGCCAGTCATCTGTCGACAAAATTGAAACTGTGATGCTCTGTGAAATCTTTTGTTTAAACATCCATTCAGTTGATTTGTAAATGTCTCTTCCAGAACTTGGTGCCAGAAACTTTGGAAATTCAAATAGCTCTGTATTTCCAGAGCCTATTAACACTTTTCTAGAGAATTATATTTTATCAGGGCTGAAAATTTCCAGGTAATATAGCTGAGAGAAAGATATAAGAAGTTTGGAAGTGTATGCAAAGGTATATAAATATGATGAACTATGAATTCTAAGCTAGGTAAGAGGGAAAGTAAGATTATGAAGAGAGGATAGACAGTGAAAGTAGATTTTATCAGTGTATAGAAGTCCTGTTGGAGTCATGGAATTGTTGATACCTATATGCCAGGAGTGAGCTAGAAAGTGAACTTGTTGATGTCAGAGTAGGATATCTGAAGTTTTAGAAGGGTGTGGCTATTCATAATGATAAAATATGATGACTGAGCTTATAAGAGAAAATGGATGATATATTTTCTTTAAGATGATTAAGCAAGAGAATGTTGTGATGATAAATCATACCCACCTTTAAGATCCTACTCAGATGTTACCATGTATTTAAGGTCTTTGATAACAAACTGTTCCTTTTAAGTGTTTTCAATTATATGTGTTCATAATGTACCATCATCAGTTGTTAAATAATTGTGAGGGCAAGAACTGTCTTATTTACCTTTGGATTCCTAGGAATGACACAATTTATGACCTTAGTGAATTATGTGGTGGGGCATCAGTGGCTACTGATATCTTGATAGCACAGAGACTTAACCACTTATCCCACTAAGGAGACTCTTCTCCTGAAGAAATCTTAACTGTCTCTGAAGATACTTTATTGTAGCACCCTAGAATGCAGTAGCACATTGTGGCTGCATGGCTTTTTTCCCCTGTAAATAAGTAGTAAATGGTCTTAATATCATTCATTAGGATCTTGATATAATTCTGTTATGTAGAATTCTGTTTTATTGTAATTTTATTAAGATGAGATTATATCTGCACATTTACCCATACAATATTACTGAAAACTTCTAGCATAATAAAGAATTGTATTTGACCCTTGAACAATGTGGGGGTTAGACACCAAATCCTATCCACTGTTGAAAATCCCCATGTGAATTTTTGCTTCCCCAAACAGAACACCAATAATATAAACAGTTGATTAATGCATATCTTGTATGTTATGTATTATACATTGTACTCTTACAATAAAGTAAACTAGAATAAAAGAAAATATTAAGAAAAAAGGGACACACATTTACAGTACTTTGCTGTATTTCTTGATGACATAAGCTTATGTTGTTTATTTCTGAGAAAAATTTGCACATAAATACATCTACTCATGTTAACCTCTGTTCTATAAGGATCCAGTATAGTTAGTCCAAAGTGTTGTTTTCCATTTAATCACTTTGTGCATTATAGCATGATTCTTTTTGTTAAATTTCTTTGTCTTTTTCTGTTACAGGTTTTATTTTACTGGTTGAGTTACTATAAAGCTACAATTTTGACACTTTTAGCAAGTCTCTGCCTCCCACTAATACTATAAGTTTTATAGATAATAGCTAATATGGCTGTGATGTAACCTCTACTATAAACATGAAACCTTAATTTAGTATTGTCTGTGTTGTTAATGCTTTCATGACAATTTTACTAGCAAATCTCATTCTGTGTTTATTTTTCACTTAAAGGAAAGAGCGCTTGGTGTATGTGGGTATCAGTATTGAAAACATCATTCCTCCACAAGTAAGTTTCTATTTTGTAGTATTTTTAAAGAGGCTGCCATGATTGTTCTAAAATTTAACCCATCTTATGTATGAATAGTTTAAAATATGTGGCATATCTGTATAATGCTACATACCTAAAATGAAAATTTGGGAGCTTAAAGAAATCACCTATAATCCTTTATGTTTGAATTTTGTATATACAGGTAGTATCAAAATGTATTATCATATGTAAGCCATATTTACAGTCAGTTCTTGCGGTTTTTGTTCCTTCTTTTTTTAAGCCCAAAGTTGGGTGATTTGGATTTTTTTTTTTTTGCTTTGTTATACGCTCTTTATAGAGAATAGTTCAGGGGGATCTGGTTTTAAATTTCTCACTGTTGGGGTTATCGAAACTTCAACTTATTCACAGTTTGATTTCTTTGATGAAATGTCATTGTTTTACATTTATTAATCTAATTTATAACTAAGGTTCATGGGTGAATGCACATATAACATGGTTTTCATTTGAAAAATTTCTAAGCTTCAGTTAGGCTTAAATAACCAGTTTTGGTTAGTTGTTTACATCCTTTGACATCATTCTCCTTTGTTCTTTAAGTCCATTATTTCATTTATTTTGCACATCTAGTGAATATCTTTTGTGTCAAATTTGTCAAAAGATTTGTCAATGGAAAAGACCATAATTAACTCAGAAATAAAGTTTTTAGTACAGTATTTTTATCATTTAAGTTCTTTTTTACCTATATACTCAGTGTTGTCATGTTTATTCAGTTTGGAGGGAATAATAATTTTTCATACCTTTCACAAAATTTTTCTAGATGAACAAGAGAAAACTGTTAATTCTAAGGAAATTTGTTCTGTTATAAATTCTGTATTATTATACTTTCAAACCAGGAGCCAGATTTTTCTGAAGATCATGAAGAAAAGAAAAAAGATTCCAAAAAATCCAAAGCAAACTTACTTGAAAGGAGGTCAACAAGAACACGAAAATGTATAAGTTACAGGTAGGAAATTTGTGGAAATGTTACACTAAAGGCATGTACCAGAAATAGAAGCTTTTCCTCAAAGGTTTGTTTGCTCATGTCATCCTCTTGTGCTTAACATATTTTGTCAGATTTCTGTAGCTTTCAGTATTAAGTTTGAAACCTTTAACAATACCCATATAGCACATAACTTAGCTTTTCAGCTTCAGCTCATCTATATTTCCAATACTTACTAGCATCAGTCACACTGTCTTCTTTTAATCACTGTGCACGTGTTTCACTCTGCCTAGAATTTCCCTCCCATTTTCTCTTCTTGATCAGATTTCTCTTGTTATTTGTCCTCATAGCAAGCAGTTCTCCTTAAAGCACTTAATCATAGTTTTGCTGATTGCAATTTTAATTATTTGATTACTATTCCTCTCTCCAACTAGATTATTGTGTTAAAGGTGTGGATCATGCCTGTTTTATGTTTTATGTTTTTCTGTCCTTATACAGCTAGTATATTGCTGACAAATAGTGACAAATCCTAAGTGCTCCATAAATGCCTATTGAAAGATTAAATTTTAAAATTTTGGTTAATTGTGTGCTGTTAGAAAACCGGAGAGATTTTTCTATTCTGTTAGTAGCTAAAGCTAGTCTTCCCACTAAACCACCCCATTCCACTCTAATAACAAAGTTTATTATAATTAATTTAGCCCTTGCTTGGCAAGAGGTCTACTTTGAGCGTAACTTGAATAACTGAAAATTAAAACTTTTATAGAACCTTAAACTTGGGTCATGTTTATAGACTTTAGTGATGATCAAAAATTCACGTGTGACTTGCTGTTGTTGATACTGTTAGGTTTTATTAAATGTAGTAGCATCAGTAAGAGTAGAATCATTAATATATATGGCATGTGTCTATCCCATTAAAAAAAAATCTTGAATAAAAAAATGCCATCTTATATTAATGTAAAAAGACAAGAAACCAAACCAAAAAAAGTACTATTTTATATAAAATCATCAATACTAGTGAAGTCAAAGCCTACATGGAAAATGCAGGTATAAAGACAGTTTTGCTGTAAGACAGTGTATATATTCCTAAAAATCACTGTGCTGCATAAAAATCACATAATAAAAGCTAGTGATTGCGAGAAGTTAAAGAGCTAGAGCTACCAAAAAGAAATGGTAGTGCCATTTGACCTGTTACAGGTTAGGAAAGAACATAAATATTACACTAAATATAGCATTTTATGTTGATAAAGGCCCAAAGTTTGTCAGTGGAAGTGGTTATGAAGTGGGTTGCTGCTGGTAGGAAGATTATTTGAAATTAGTCAGAAACTTGTAATACCGGATGCAGGCAGCTATTGTTTATACATGATGAGATCAGGTTGCTGGTAAATCTGAGGTATGTGCTTATTTGCTTTGTATATTCCTGTGCAGCTATAAATTTTTTCTTTTACCTAGTTTTTCTCACTAATGAAATTACTTATAAGCAGCTATGAAATACATGGCTTGAATTATTTTCTAATATATTAGTCACATTGGAACAAATTTACACTGTCAGGACAAATTTGATAACAAAACTGATGGTATGTCTTCCAATGCTGATGTAATATGGTTGTTAAGGGAAACAAATTTGTTTTTTTTAGAATGTTATCTTGCATGTCAAAGTGGAATTGCTGGACCTGTATTACAGTTCTGTGTTTGTGTGTTTTGAGAAACTTTCATGCTCTTTTCCATGACGTCTGTACTTAATTGTATTCCAGTAAGACGTATATATGTCTTCCAGGTTCTCTACATTGTTACCAATACTCTTAGCTTTTGTTTTATAGATGGTGGCCATCCTAGCAGATATAAGGTGTTATCTCCTTTGACTAGCTTCCCTTTAATGTTTGGGGTTGCTGAGCTTCTGATATGTCTTTTGTTGGGCATTTATATTTTTCATCATTTTCCTTTATTTCTGCTACTTGGTGCTTTTTTTTTTTTTTT